AAGCATATAAGAGATACTATGCTTTATGCAAAGGATAATATCTCTTATAAGGATATTAAATCTATCTTAAAATCAAAAGAACAGATAGATAGTGATATTACTGGGGAAGCTAGTAGAACTCAAGCGGAAGTTGGCTTGTTTGTTAGGGGAAAATCCGACTCCATATCCAGATATAATAATTTACAGTGTCGCTATTGTCATAAGAAAGGTCACAATATCTCTGAATGCTATAAATTGAAAAATAAAGAAAAGCATAAAAAAAGAAAAATTGAGCACAAAAATGCTGACACCGCCGAAGCTAATGTAGCAACTGATGAGATTGAGGGAACTATATTTTTAGCAACTGAAACTAGTTTCAGATTAGACAATGAATGGATTTTAGATTCTGGTTGTTCATATCATATGTGTCCTAGCAGAGACTTGTTTTCTACATATGATTTAGTTGCAGGTGGAGTTGTCTTGATGGGCAAAAATATTGCCTGCAAAGTTTTTGGAAAAGGTACAGTCCGAATCAAAATGCACGATGGTGTAGTGAGAATTCTCACTGATGTTAGACATGTTCCTGACTTGAAGAAAAATCTTATCTCTTTGGGCACTCTAGAATTTCTTGGGTGCAAGTACGCAGGTGAAGGTGGAGTTCTGAAAGTTTCTCATGGTGCTCTTGTGATCATGAAAGCACACAGATCTGGTTCTTTGTATACTTTATTGGGATCCACTGTTATAGGCCTTACTATAGTTTCTGTATCAGACAACTTGTCTAATTTTGATGGCATTAAATTTTGACATATGCCCATTGGGGCTTTTGCGGAGAAGGTGGAGAAAATTTACTATATCAACCAAAATTAGGCCAAGGTGGAGATCTATAATTATGGCCACTATTTTGGCTAATGGAGTCCATCTCACATAAGTATAAGCATCTTTTCAAAGTGTAGACTTTATTGGCAATATTCTTTGGGACCCAAAAATATTGCATTGTGTGTTGGACATCATTTGCACAAGTTGTATCTCTTCTTTTATACCTAAGAGGCCAAGACTTTTTTGCCTATAAAAGGGAAGGTCATTAGTTCATTTTAGACACACCAACAAGACTTGTCTCCAATTCTTGTTTCTTCCTTTCTTCCTTTATTAAGAGTTTTTTGTATGAGAGTTAGTGTTGGGAAGCACTTGTGTGAACCCTTTCTTTGGAGTGATCTTGTGAGGTTATTCTCTTAGGGTATTTGGGATTAATTAGAGTGTTTACTCTAATTTTGTACTCTCTTTTACACTCTTATTGTTATAGTAAATTGCTCCTCTCCGCTTGTGGACGTAGGTCACTTTGACCGAACCACGTTAAATTTGTGTCTTCTTTATCTACTTTAATTGTCGTTGTTATCAACTTTCATTGTCTTTGTTATTGTTATTATACCGTTGTTTTGCAAAATTTTGCACTACCCGGATTCCCGATCCTAACAAACCCTATGGTTCCTACTGGAGGCAGATGCGCAAGATTTGCATACTTGAGCTACTCAGCACAAAGCGAGTCCAATTGTTTTCAATTGTTAGAGTAGAGGAAGTTGCTCGTCTTGTTCATCGGGTTGCAGAATCATATCCTGGAACCACCACTAACTTAAGTAAAATGCTAGCTCTGTATGCAAATGATGTTATTTGTCGTGTTGCATTTGGGAAGCTATTCACAGGTTGAGATTATGAACGCCACGGGTTTCATCATAAGTTGCTTGAAGAATTCAAAGAACTTTTAGGCGGATTAATTATTGGTGATTTCTTTCCTTCCATAGAATCAATTATTCACAGATTAACAGGACTGAAATCAAGACTAGAAGACACATCCAGGCGCTTTGACAAGCTTCTTGATGAGATAATGGAGGACCACATTAGATCTGGAAATATGAAGATCATAAGGACATTGTTGATGTTTTAATTGAAATACAACAGAGCCGATCTTGAAGCACCCATTACAATGGAAAACGTTAAAGCAATCATCTTGGTAAGTCAGGATTTCATTAGAAACAAAAGTCCTTCCATTTCAAGAAGAATGACATTATTTCCTTATTAATTCGTTTCAAAGAGGATAACTTTGTAAATTCGGATACAATCTGACTTGCACTTCTCATTTTACCTAAATGACAAGCTTTTATACAAATCTTATGACATGTTTAAGACTAAAAGTTTCAAACGTACAATATATAGCCACTCAAATGTTATGGTATATTTAGGACTACAAGTATCGAAAGTTTTTCTTCTCTGTCTAAGATTTCATGCTCCCTCAAACTATGTCATATAAAATGAAACAGAGAAAGAAAGTATTAGCATTACTTTCATAGTTCATTGTTTAGTGTCTTTAAGTTCAACATCTGTGAAAGGCAAAAACAACAGTAGTAACTTTTCTTGTTCTAATTGCAGAACATGTTTGCTGCAGGAACAGATTCAACATTTATTACATTGGATTGGGCAATGACGGAGCTGCTGATGAATCCAAAAGCAATGGAAAGTGCACAAGCAGAGGTGAGAAGTGTTGTGGGAAAAAGAAGCTTCGTATCAGAAATCGATCTGCCTCAGTTGAATTACATCAAAGCTATCATAAAAGAAGTCTTTCGGTTGCATCCTCCTGATCCATTATTAATTCCAAGAGAGTCCACTGAAGAAATCACCATAGAGGGGTATATTATGCCTCCCAAGACAAGATTTTTCATCAACGCATGGGCGATAGAGAAGGATCCAGATACTTGGGAAAATCCTGATGTATTTGGACCATAGAGATTTATTGACAGCAACATTGATTTCAAAGGGCAAGATTTTGAGCTCGTGCCTTTCGGGGTAGGTAGAAGAATATGTCCTGGCATTGCATTTGCTAGCGCGAATACTGAGCTTGCAGTAGCTCAACTTCTTCACAGCTTTGATTGGGAACTTCCCCCTCGTATTGAAGATGATGTTTTTATACTTCAAAACCACACAAGAGAGGGTTAATTTGTGTGGTGCCCAATTTTCGTGAGTACTGGATTATCGATGGACCTGGTTCTTCTATACGTTTCTTACACCACAGTTGCGAAACAAATAATGCAGAAAGTAAAGAACACAAAAAATTTTACGTGAAAAACACCCGGCTCAAAAGGTTAAAAAATCACGACCTACTACCCAATAGAATTTTTCCCATACACTTCACTACAACTCTAAGCCAACAACAAAGTTTACAAACTCTTGCAAACTTAAGGATTACCTCTAACCCTTGTAGCAACCAGTCACGGGTTGTTATGACTACTTCAAGTTAACTCTAACTTGAACAATACAACTAGAATTTACAACTTGTTGCATACCTAAGGATTGACTCTAACCCTTATAACAACACGCCACAGGCTGTTGCGACTACTTCAAGTTAACTCTAACTTGAAAGATACAACTCAGGTACCTAGTACAATTTGCTTCTTAGAAAGGAGAAAGGTACAACTCAAAACGCCTACCATACTTTGAACTAGAAATAAAGAAAGACACATAAAACTTTTTATGGAGCTAGTTCTTCAATCGGGTTCGTGTAGCTTCAGGATCGTACTCTTAAATCTCACAGGAATTGCTTACAAAATGCCTTGCTATTTTGCTATCAATTTGTGCTTAACTTCAGTATGTGTGCATCACCTGTAAAAAAGAACAAAATTGATATTTATAGAGTTAGTAGAATAAGGATTAACTAGAAGTCTAATGCTTTACTCTTCCTTGGTGGAAGAGTTCTAGTTATCTTCAACTTCTAACTCTTTCCTTATCTTGGACAGAGTTCTCATCAAGTAAGGAGTCCTGCTCCTTATCAAATATGCAACATTTTTGTTCAGGGATTATCAGAAATAACCACTTATACTTATCCCTTTCACGTGCATGCCTTTTTCTTGATTCTACCCGTTACCTATGTACACTGTCCATGGACCTGGTTCATGCATGTGTTCCTTTGTCAATCATCAAAACCAAAATCACTCAGGTCAACAAATTCCCCATTTTTGATGATGACAAACTCAGTGCTTTTCATAAGCATGAAACCTGTTTCAACTCAGCTCAATATCAACACAATGTTAGAACACTTTTCATTTAAAGTCATAAATCGTCAAGGACCAGGTTCATTAGGTTATAAACATCACAGTCCATAGCAAAAGCGCACTTTATCTTCCCCCTTTTGGCATCATCGAAAAGTTGCACAATTAAGGTAAGTAACCAAATTTTAACAGATATCACTCATGGCCACTGAGGCTACTTCAAATGCAATCATGGATTCAATTTTCTCTTTTTCAATCTAAGGATATTAGCCATCTAAGAAATATCAACAAACAATTAGAGCAAAAGCAGTGAATTTCATTGAGTGATAAGATCCTACCACAAGGCATAAGAAGAAATAAAAACATAGAACCATGAGCGAAAAACAAAAAATATCCCACTTGGGTTACTGGATACAAACTAGGCTTAGGAAGGGTTTAAAACTGGGAAGGACCAGGTTCTTGGTTCTTGGCTTGAAGCAGTTTCAACATATCTTGAAGAATACTGTCAATATTCTCCTTTTACTTTGCAAGCTCACACTTGAGAGAGTCTCTCTTAGCATCCTTAGCCATTTTCTTCCACTATTTGAGCCTACTTGCTCCTTTTGGCAGACCTAGTTCTTTTAGACACAATTGAGCACTCAGCCTCAGCCTCTGTTTCTCGAGAATTATTTTGAGAAGTCTTTCTCTTTTTGGCACTAGGTGTGGGTACTTCCACATCCTCATATTCATCTTCAAGAACCAGGTTCATCTCTTCAATCTGGACTACTTCACTTAGCTTTCCAGCCTTTTTTTTAAGCGACTTTCTTAGCATTCTCAGCTAAGGCCCTTTTTACATTGGCCTAACTCTGCTTCTTACAGCTCCTTGTAGTTCTTCCTCTTGTGGGAGGAGTTGCTACAGGGACAGAAGGAGCACTCTTTCTCTTAGTGCTAACCATGCTCTTTCCTTCCGTCTTTCCGACTTTGTTCTTCTTCTTTTGATTGTAACTATTTGACACCTTTTGTAAGAGATCAGGACTCTTGTCTATTTTAGCAAGAGAAAGAACTGGTTCATGAAACCGTTTCCTTAACCTAACCAGCCCATCTGTTGCACTTCTATCACCAGAACTATCACTTATCTCCTGTGATTCTATCCTCATACTTTCATTCATAGTCTACTCATTATCACTAATCTCTTCACTTAATACAATCATTGCTCTAGCTTCTTCAGTCAAACCAACAAGAGTGGGTGAAGGAAATCCAACCATTCTTTCTTCTCCCTTTCCCCTCACATCCACTTCGACATCCTCACTCTTTTTTTTCTTTTTTTATTTTTACCACAAATTTTTTTAGACCCACCAGTTTCTACACCAGCAATTGTACCAACAAACACAAACCTATTTTCAAGATTCTCAGCAATTTTAGAAGCAGCATCATAAATTTTTAACCCAAAAGTTACTTGCTCAGTTTAAGATGAAACTGGTTCTTCCCCCTCAGTCGCAGACTCGAAGGACTCATCAGATTTTTAGGGTTCTTCTACTTGACTGGCTTGTAACATCTCACTCAATTTCTTAGCTTATTCTCTACTATCCATTGTGTTCCATGCAATCATTTTGATATGCTATTTCTTGGGGGTTTTGGTGGGTGAAGGTTCTTTGGGTGGTGAGGAAGGGTTTTCAGAGTTTTTGGGATTCTCATGGCTGTTTTCCATTTGATCAATTTAGAAATTTGAGAGAAATAGAGAGAGTTTTGAGGTTTTGGAAATTTTGATCTTTCGAAAAAATTTGAGATAAGAGGGTAAGGTCAAATCAATTTAAATAGGTAAAGGTTGAGTGTATAACGATACTTTTTGAAGTCTAGAAGTCTAATCACATTGGAAGTTTCAGTTTGAAAAGACGTTCGACTCTTCCCTAAATATTTCGGCAATTATGGCACGTGGGGCTCTTGATGAAACTGGGTCGTTTGTAACTAACTGGTTCAAAAGTAGTTTGGGATAAAGTGGGACTCTTTTCAGTTCATGATCCATATGCAGTTATTTCAAATTATATGAAATGTAGAATACATACCTTATAAGCCCGATGAACCAGGTTCTTCACTGAAAGTTCTCTTGTGTAAGACTGATTTTTTCCAAGAAAATAAGGATAATATCATTAGACATCAGTGAGAAATTTTAGCACTTGTCACAAGAGTATACTAATAAAAGTATGAGACAGAGCAATATCTAATCTAATTATTCACAAAATTCATAAATTATCTAACCAATCATTGAGTTAGAACCTGTTTCTTTTAGGAGATCTTAACCATCCCTAATTATAACTTGTTCCTTTCAAAGTGATCCCTACTCAAAGCTTTTGTAAAGATGTTAGCAATTTCCTTATCAGTAGCACAAAATTCCACAGTGATCAACACCTCTCAAAATTATCCCTTTGAAAATGATGCCCAGTATCTATGTTCTTAGTTCTTTTGTGATGAACCGGGTTCTTGGTCATACTAATTGCACTGGTGTTATCATAAAAGATGAAAATACAACCTACATCAATTCCAAAGTACATTAATTGTTGTTTGATGTATAACAATTGAGCATAACATGAGGCAGCGGTAACAAACTCAGCTTCAGCAGTATACAAGGCCACATAATTTTTCTTTCTGGTGGCCCAAGACATAAGACATGAGCAAAGAAAGTGTGCCATACCTGAGGTGCTCTTTCTATCCATAAGAAAACCTGCATAATCAGCATTAGCATATCCCACTAAGTTGAAATTACTACCTTTTGGATACCATAGACAAAGGTCAGTGGTGCCTTTTAGGTATCTCAAGATCCTCTTAACAGCAGACAAGTGAGACTCCTTTTGCTTTGCCTGAAATCTAGCATAAAGGACTACATTAAAAACAATGTCAGGTCTGCTAGCAGTGAGATATAACAAGGAGCCAAACATTCCCCTATAAAACTTCTGATCAACAGATGAACTAGGTTCATCTACATCCAATTTTGTGGCTGTTGCTATAGGAATGTCAATTTCTTTGGAATCTTCCATTTTAAACCTTTTAAGCAACTTTTTCACATACTTCTACTGATTGATCATAGTTCCATTTGAATTTTGTTTAATTTGTAAGCCTAAAAAGAACTTAAACTCACCCATCATACTCATTTCAAATTCACTCCCCATTAGTTTAGCAAATTCTTTATTTAACTTATCAGTAATTGCTCCAAAGATTATATCATCAACATATATCTGAACTACCAAGAGATCTTTACCTTTTTCTTTCAAGAATAAAGTATTGTCAATTTTACCTCTCTTGTAGTCATGATCAAGCAAGAATTTTGATAATCTTTCATACCATGCTCTTGGAGCCTGCTTGAGTCCATAAAGTGCCTTGTCAAGCATGTACACATGATCATGACATTCCTTGCTTTCAAAGTCCGGAAGTTGCTTGACAAACACTTCTTCCTTTAGATAGCCATTAAGGAAGGCACTCTTGACATCCATATGATAGAGAATGAATTCCATGTAGGCAGCAAAGGCTATAAGGAGTCTAATTATTTCCAATCTTGCAACTGGATCAAAAGTATCATCATAGTCTATGCCTTCCTCTTGACTATATCCTTGAACCACCGATCTTGCCTTGTTCCTTGTAACTGTTCCATCTTCGTCAAGTTTATTTTTGAAGACCCATTTTCTGTCAATTACTGATCTTTTCTTAGGTCTTGGTACCATATGCCAAACTTGACTTCTCTCAAATTGGTTGAGTTCATCTTGCATTGCA